TTTCTACACTGAATTTAACAAGGTTAACCCAGTATGGAAAGAATAACCTGTGTAGACTAAACTCATAATAGACTGATACATACATCTCAGGATAGCATCTTATTGAATTGGAAATGAGTGTTAGAACTATCTGGCTGGCCTTGTCTCCTTGCTCTTTCTTCCTGTAAATAACCTCCACAGGAGGACAAAAGATGAGAAGTTTCTATAGAGTATTGATCAGAACAAGCAGAGTTAGTTATAGAGCTTGAAAGTGTCATGGCGTCAGGCTCTGGCAGCCTGTTCAGCAGCCAAACCTCACAGAGCAACCTATGTGGGGTGGGAGGCAGCAGGACCTCCCCTTTCCCAGGCCGGCCATCAGGTTACTCGGAGGTCCTGAAGACCCGGAAGCCGAGCTCTCTTCTAAGAGACTGCCTATCTCAGCTCTGATGCGTTACAGGTTACACTTCATTCCTAAAAGGTAACCTTGCAAATGCCCGAGGAACTGTATTCCGCAAGGATCTTCTACATGTGTCAGGCTTTAGATGCACACACATCACCCAACATGTAATAGACCCACTGGGGAATCATTAATGAATGTCCCCGTGGGGACCACCTCCTCTCCTGGCTCTTACTAGAAGTCACAGGTCTTTTCCATGTGCCTAGGCACAATTCCAGTTCAGGTTTCTGAATTGCTGGGCCATCAATAGCCACACAGAAACCCATCAGTCAGACATAAATATACAGCCTGTCTGGGTACATACTTGCTTTCACACTCACGTGCATACTCACTAGCAAGCGGGCATGACCAACTTCATAAAGTGGTTCTGGTTCCATGGTTTGTGATCACTCATCTGTTCAACAAGACAATACTCATGGAAGCTCGGACACAAGCTCTGACTCCTGGAAGCACGTCCCAGGTGATCGCTCATGGCAGAAGGGAATGAGAGCTAACTCTGTGGGTTTTGAGAACCCCTTCCTGAGTGTGAGCTCTATAATTCTGGAATCTGCCCCAAGAAATCTAATGGCACCTCAGACTCAGGTGCCCTGCTCTGTGAGGGAAGGAGGTTGGCACACAATCCAGGTCCTTAGGCTTCTTTTCTGGAAGGAAAGGAGAAAGGGAGGGAGGGAGGAAGGAAAGAATACCTTTAAAAAGACTCCTGGTTGTGACCAATGTCTTACAAGCCTAACTGCAAACTCAAGAGTAAGCATTTGAAATAAATGCAAATACCAGAGCACAGACTAGTATTTCTCTCACATGAAACCTCAGCAGTGATTATACACCTTATCAGAGCCTGGGTTTTTCTCTCCTGCAAGGCAGACCCATCCAGGGCTGACTTGTTCAACAAGGCTTTGAGTACCCCAGGCCCCAGCAGGGAGGCCCAACCAGTACAACCTGTTTTCTGTTTCCCCCATCCCTCTCCTAGGTCAAAATCCTTTAATTAGCTGGTTACCATAATCACTCTAGCTGGGGACCTTGCTTGTTCTCCTTCCCTGCTATTCCCACAGATCTGTAGGCTCCAACACTTCTGGGCCAGACAGACCTTTCCATCACAGCCTCTCTAGGCCTTTTTGTTTTTCTCTTTCATGATCAGAACAACAACAACAACAAAAAGCCTGGGGAGAGAAATCATTTCTCCTTCTGTGTCTGGAAAAGACCCTGTAACTATCTTTTTCCAATCAGGAACAAGTTTCCATGACAACCATGCTTCCGGATGCCACCACTAACTTAGCAGGTAGTGTTCACATCAAATAGAGAGTTCTTTACCCACCTCCGTGATTTCTGTATTTCACCATTGCTACAGGCCTCTAACGTGCCAGATGTCAGCATGAACTATATCTTAAAAGGGATTTTTTTCCTTTTTCCTTGCAAACATCAGAAAGACCCAAAAGACTGCTTGCTATTTTCCTTACAGTAATCATGAAAAAGCATACCAAAAGGTTCAAAAGTATACATGAAAGAAAACATGGGGAGGAGGGAATCATAAATAGGTGGATGGAGAATGGCTGGGCCATGATGACAGCTGGGTGACTTACACCATGGTCAATGGCATAAGTTTTGAGCTGAGAGCTAAAGGTCGGGAGATGTGACCCTGGCTAAGTCACTTATTTTCTCTGAGCCTCAACACTCCCTTTGTAAAAAACAGAAACAGAGACCCTTCATGGGGCTGTTTGAAAGACTGGATGGAAAAAAAAGCAAAGATGAAAAAAGTGGTTGAACGCTGTTTGGCCAGTGGCTCAGGGGTAAAGAACCTGCCTGCCATGCGGGAGACTCAGGAGATATGGGTTCAGTCCCATATCAGGGGGTCGGGAAGACCCCCTGGAGGAGGAAATGGCAGCCCACTCCAGCATTCTTGCCTGGGAAATCCCACGGACAGAGGAGCCTGGAGGGCTACAGTCCATGGGGTCACAAAGAGTTGGACATGACTGAGAACGAGCTACTTAATGGTGTCTGGCACACAGTAGGAATCAACAAACGGCAATTATCATGTTGTTCTTATGGTGAAGAACTTAATTGGAGAGAGTCTGAGCAAACAGCAACCACAATATTCTAACTGATGATTAACATTTTGCTGGTAGAGAGTAACAATATAAGCAGTAGATATCTGGATGTTATCTTAGCAACCTTTTCTCTTAAGCTATTAAGTTGTGTCTGCAATTATAGGAAGGAATATATTCATTTCCATTCCTAAGACTTAAGAGGATACACCTGGGCAATCTCCAGGGTTCATCTGAATCTCTCTATTTATAGTTCTGCATAAGCTGTTTCATTTTGAAACAGAGCAAAGGGAAAAAAAGGATTAACCATTAACATATTTGCCTGATATTCCATATTCTCAACATCAATCAGAATATTTTACTTCTTCTCCAGAAGGAAGAAAAATAAGAATAGGAATATTTTTATGATATTTTCATTGTTGCATAGTTAAAATCTCACTTCAAAACCAGAATTCATATTGTAGCAAACAAATCAACATGCTCATTATTGAACAAATTCCTACACTGCAGTTCCTCCCTGCCTCATCCTCAGTGCCCTTAAAGAGCTGAGAGGGCCCTCCACAGATAATACCAATGTGAACCTTTATTTTTAAACAATGAAACTATTTACATATTTTTAAAAATCCTACTTCTGTCAATGTGATGGACTATATGCTAGATAAACTCTCTATTAAGAACTATTTAAGATAATAAATAAAATATTCCTTTTAAAAATGTGTTTTACAGTATAGATGTGCTCAAAAAATTCAAAACAGAACTATTATACAATTCAATGACTTCTTTTCTGGGTATATATACAAAGATAGAGAATTCCATGTCTTAAAGAGACATCTGGGTTCCTACGCTCACTGCAGCATTATTCGAAATGGCCAAGGTATGGAAACAATCTTAAGTATTTGTCAGTGAAGGGAAAAAGAAGACGTGGCACATACACAATGGAACACAACTCAGCCTAAAAATGAAGGGAATCCTGCCATGTGCAATAAGATGGATGAACCTGCAGGACATTATGCTAAGCAAAATAAGCTAGACACAGAAAAGACAAATAGTGTACGATTTCACTTAGAAGTGGGATCTAAAAACACTGAACTCACAGAAGCAGAGTAGAATGGTGGTCACCAGGGAAATGGGGAGATGTTGGTCAAAGGGTACAAACTTTCCTTTATGTAAAATGAATTAGTTCTAGAGATACAGTGTACAGTATGGTGACTGTACTTAATACAGTATTATATACTTGGAATCGTCTAAGAGAGTAGATCAAAGGTGTTCTCATCACACATAAAAAAAGTTTGTAAGGAGATGGGTATGTTAATTAGCTTGATTATTAGAATAACTTCACTATGCATACCAAAGTATCACACCTTACATCTTACATCTTATATTTACATCTTAAATATATACCATTTTTATTTTAAAAATGAAAAATAAAAGTTTAAAAATAGAAAAATAATATGTTTTAAATGCTCCTGGAGCTGGCAGAAAGGTTAAAAAAAAAAACTTCGAAGGCCAGAAACAATAAAACAAAACAAATTCCAGAAAGATAATGTGATAATTGAGATAGAATATGTCATGGAAGCAACTGCCTATCCAGGTCAGCAAATATTTTTCTGTAAAGGGCCAGATCACAAGCATTTTAGGTTTCACAGGCCATACAGTCTCAGAGGCATCCACTCATATCTGAGACCGTGGCATGAAAACATTCACAGATAACATAAACAAAGAGCAAATGACTGGGTTTCAAAAAAATTTTACTTATATAAACAGACAGCAGACAGAATTTAGCCTGCAAGCCAGTTTACCAGTCCCTCATTATAGCCTGATTTTTAGTGTTTTCCCCTCGAGAAAGAAGTCTGGTAGATGACATACTTGTTGCAGGTGATAGAATGATGGGGTAATGGTCCCAAATTTCTTCACATCTCCCTGTAAACACACAGACTCCAGGCTAGACCATGTGACCTGCTGTGGTCAATGGAACCGTGTAAGAGTGACACAGAAACGTGAAAAGTACTAGCAGAATGGTGCTTGTTCTCTCTCACTGCTCCTCATCTCTGCATCCACCATTGCATGAATTTACCCAGGCCAGTGTGCTGAAGACATACTCATCATCCTCATTACCCTAGGCAAGAAGAGGTGACGGCAGCAGCAATTGCCAGATATATGATGAAGCCACTGATGACCAGTTAGCCCCCAAGTAACCCAACAGTCGACGGCAGTCCCAGGAATGAACCCAGATGAAGTCAGCAGAAGGACCATCCAGCTGAACTTAGTCTATATTGCTGACCCACAGAATCACAAGGTAACAAATAATCATTTTAGAGATTACGTTTCAGGGTGATTTTTCTGCAAGAAAAGCTACATGGCACATTCTGTAGGAAGTCTATTGTTTTCTAAAAACATAAAGTGAAAGGTCAGCAAGTATATTTATAGAAATGGACAAGAGAAAACTGAAAAAACACACAAAATATTTATTTCCATTTTGAAGATCCTGTCACCTGCCAGCAGATAAGTCCAGAAAGTCTTCCTACCTGAGCAGACTTCTTTATAAGTAGGATTGGGAGTATAGCCTCCTGCATAACCAACTTGAGTTGAATATACACCTTTCAGGTTCCAGAATTTCCTTTCAGCTCCCCAGAAACAGCCCATTCCTAAGAAAAACATGATACTGGTTAGTCCTTTATAAAAACAAGGCAGTCGTTGCATATCAGGAGCCCTGTCACACTAGGAAAAAGTTCTTCTTGTTATCTGGTAATCGAACATGAGTAAGATTTTATCTTTTAAAGAAGCAGAGCTTTTAACATCTAAAAAGAATTTTATTTAAGGTTATTTTCACAGAATGTCTCTTTGCTTCGTTATTGTTGTTCAGTCATTAAGTTATGTCTGGCTCTTTTCGACCCCATGCACTGCAGCACACCAGGCTCCTCTGTCCTCCACTATCTCCCCAAGTCTGTTCAAATTCATGTCCACTGAGTCAGTGATGCTTTCTAATCATCTCATCCTCTTGCTTTAGTAGTGTAAAAATGTTTAAAACCCTCAAATTTTAGTAGCTTGTAAAGTTACACCTTTTGAAATAATATAGCAAAAGGATAACTGCATTTGATGAAAGATTTCCACACTCAGTTCATTATGGACTTGTCAAAACATAATAAGTTGTAGCAACAGTAGAAATTTATTTAATGATAAGTATCCTGGTCAGGCTTTCTTTAAAAATCCTAACAAAGGAAGGTAACACTCAATTACTGATTTAAATGGGAAAACATCCCCCAGATCAAAACAGATTGACACAGTATTTGATTAAAAATTTCACATATGTGTTCAGTTTGAAATTTTTTTTAATTCATTAGAAAATTTGGCAATGGCATCCCACTCCAGTACTCTTGCCTGGAAAATCCCATGGACGGAGGAGCCTGGTAGGCTGCAGTCCTTGGGGTCGCTGAGAGTCAGACACGACTGAGCAACTTCACTTTCACTTTTCACTTTCATGCACTGGAGAAGGAAATGGCAACCCACTCCAGTGTTCTTGCCTGGAGAATCCCAGGGACACCGGAGCCTGGTGGGCTGCCGTCTATGGGGTCGCACAGAGTCGGACACGACTGAAGTGACAGCAGCAGAAAATTTCATGTGATAAACCACTGCTCACCAAAAAGAACATTTTTCTGAGTTCAATTACTGAATATGATAAATAAAGAAAGAGACAGAGGAAGACAGGGAAAGAGACTAAGAAATAAAGGCACAAAAGTGGTTTTCCTCTCAGCTAGCACACATGTGCTCACACCAGTGGTTAGGTATTAAGATTCCTTTGAATATATGATGAAAACTAAGACCTATCTCCCAAGAATGCACATGCTTACACTCATCTAAAATGTTGTATTACATTTCCTTGTCTCCAGATAAAGAACCTTCCTTTTTCTACCATGAAATTCTAAACTTCCACAACTATTCTGTGGTCAATTTCTAGACGTAAACAAGATTACTGCCGTCCTCAAGTTTTATCTGGCTTTATTAAGTCATATATAATTAAAATACTGGGTAGAACAACAGTTATCAAATTAATATATGCCTCCTACTTTAACAATCACTAGATCTGTTAGATTTGATGACAGAGCTAAAAGAAAAATTAGAAGTTTAGTGAAATTCTTGACACTTGTTAATATTCTACTTTAAGAATTCAGAGCAACACCAACCAAAAACAAATGTGCATGATGTTATACATTATACAAAAATACACTTGCTCAAATGTGATGGGAAACATACTAACCAGAAATAGGCTAAGTTAAAAAATATGATAGAGCCAAATGATGAAATTTAATGCAGTAAAAAGTTACTGTTGTGGTAACAATGCAATATGGAAATATGTATATAATTGCATCATAATTAACCCAAAGCTAAATTTAAAAGGGAAAAAGACAATTTTAGGCATGTTCTTATTATAACTATGAAAAAATATTCATACCAAGATAGACTAGAAAGAAATACATAAAATCATAATCATGATTATATTACAGTGGTGAGAATATACAAACTTTTTTTATTTTTCAAGTTTTTATATAATAGGTTCACATTACTTTAAAAACACATACCTTTTAAAAAGGAAAGCAAAGAATTCAAAGAAAAAATAAGCATCTGCCTTGTTCGAGTTACACACCACTAAATATCATTTTTTTCTGTTTACAAGTGAATTGTTTGCTACTAGTGAATGTAACTGGGCTTCCTTGGTGGTTCAGACGGTAAAGAATCTGCCTATAATGCAGGAGTGACTATGACTAGGTATTTACTCCTAAAAATTGATCATCCTCAAGTCTCTGGAACAAGGATTCACTATTAATTTTATTTCATTGCAGTCCTGAAATGAGGGGACTATGCTAGTCAGAGTTTTCTGAAGAAACAGAACGAACAGGATTTAAACAGATCTACAGAGAGAGATTTATTATAAGGAATTGGATCCTAATTTTTGGAGGCAAGGAAGTCCCATGAGCTACAATCTGCAAGCTGGAGGCCCAGGAAAGGCAGTACCATAATCTTAGTCCAAACCTATAAGTTTGAGAGTCAGGGAATCCAATGATGCGAATCCCAGTCTAAGTTTGAACACTGATAACCAGGAGCACTGATGTTTGAGGGCAAGAGGAGATGGGTATCTCAGCTCAGAAAGAGTGAATTCACCCTCCATCTCCTATTTTGTTCTATGCAGCCCCTCAATGGACTGGACAATGCCCAGTCATGCTGGTGAGGTTGATCTATTCCATGTAACAACTCAAACGCTAAGCTCTTGCAGAAACCCTCACAGACACATCCAGAAATGATGCCTTACTGGTTTTCTGCACATCCCATAGCCAGGTCAAGTTGACACATAAAATGATGGGTCATGGGAATGATGACAGGGAATCTCTGCAGAAGGAAGGGCGAAAAGGGAGCTGGGCAGTATTACTGCACAGAAAAGGCCACAAAGCCATCCAGGAGATGGGCAGTGTGCAAGCTGGAGGCACCTTCGCCTCTGAAGTTTGGTCGTCTGTGGGGGTCACTGAGTAAAATATTTCTGTATCTCACAGCAACTAACAGTGATGGTGCCAAAGAGCGCTGCGCACACTTCAGTGTTCCCCACTCTCCACACCTTGCTGTTGTTCAGCCGCTAGGTCGTGGCCAGCTCTTTTGTGACCCCATGGACTGTAGCCCTCCAGGCTCCATGCGGTTCTCCAGGCAAGAATACTGGAGTTGGTTGCCATTTCCTTCTCCAGGAAATCTTCCCAGGAGAGGGATCGAACCCATGTCTCCCTGCAGGCGGGTTCTTTACCGCTGAGCCAGCAGGGAAGCCCACACACGGTATATAACGGGCTATTTTAGCAGCCAGCTTACCCTGATCACTGTCTACAGTCTTACTGTCTATGGCCCCAGAGTCTAAATCTCCTGCGTCTTCACTACATCCTCATGATACAGATTTATAAAACTTAAAATGACCAAACAAAAATTTACTGAAGGTAGAGAAATATTTACCTCCCCCCTTTTCGTTTATTGGGGATCAAGAAAAGAACTCTGATAGCAAGGAGAATGAACTAGCTCCACCTGGGCAAAGGTCTCCAAGAGGGGTGTGGCTGAAATAATGTCCCAGGGTATATAACCAATGTTGATATTTCTACAAAGGTATTTAACTTAGGATAGGGGTGACTGTAAGAATAAAACTCCTTGAAGCAATCAGATGTTTTATCTAGTGGCTTCCAGTATAACCTAAGCATTCTTTTATTTGCCTGAGTATGTATGTGTTTAAACAAAGAAAGGTTGATTTATGGCAGAATGTCTCAGAATTTGTGGGTCTAGTAAGCAACATGAATATCATCTAAAATATGTTTTACTTAAAATATTTTATATTTTAATCTTTTATTATAAATAAACCAAATACAGAAAAACCACATGCAACAAATGCATAACTCAGTGCATTATTATACTCGAACAGTCTAGTAACGACCACTCAGGTCAAGCTTTAGAACTTTGCCATCCAACCCAGGAAACCCTTACATCACACCTAAGTCACAACTCTCTTTCTTCCCCCAAAGCTAACCATTGTCTGAATTTTATAGTATTTACTTACTGATGCTTCTTTTATCATTCAAAGTATCCACCTTGATACTACAGTTCGGTCCTGCTCATTTTTAAAATCTGATTATGTCTTTAAAATTCTTTCAATGGACAGGCTCCCACTCCATTCTAATCCTTTAATTTATCCATTGAAGAAAACATGAGCCGCTTGACCTGCAGAATTTCCCACAGTGTAGATTTTGCCAATTGCGTTCTCCTGGTGCAATTCAACCTGTTCCTCTATCCTCAGTGTTTCCTGCAAATTTGCTGCTGGATCCAGAGGTGTGATCCACACTCAGATTTCATCCTTTGGCAAAACTATGGGTGGTCCTATGGTATATTTTTAACTTTTTAAAAGTTTTTCCAGCTTTATTGGTATATAACTGACATATGACATGTAAGTTTACTGTATAGAATGTCATCACATACTTGGCACACAAACATACTGTGAAATAATTAAAACAGTAAGGTCAGTTATACATTTATCACCTCACACAATTCCAATTTTTTGTAGTGAGAATATTTAAAACCTACTCTCTTAGTAACTTTCAATTATAAAGTATAGTATTATTAGCTATAGTCACCATGGGGAATATTAGATCCCCAGAATTTACTCATCACTAGAAGTTTGTATTCCCACACAAACTCTGGAAACCACAATTGTACTCTTTGTTCTGATGGACTTGGCTCTTTCTTTAGATTCCAATATAAGTGAAATTATACAGTATTTGTCTTTCTCTGTATGACTTATTTCATTTAGGATAATGCCTGAAAGGTCTAGCGTGTTGTCACAAATGGCAGAATTCCTGCTTTTCATGGCTTTTTATGGTTTTTATAATTACTATTATAACCATAATAATTATTCCATTATGTTTGTGTATATATTTACACACACATCAATAACACACCATTTTATCCATTAATCTGTTGATAACCACTTAGGTTGTGTCCATCTCTTGGCTATCATGGATAATGCTGAAATGAACACGGGAGTAGAGATATCTCTTTAAGACAGCGACTTCATTTTCTTCAGATATATAACTCAGAAGTGGACTAGTTGATTATACGGTAGTTCTATTTC